GAAAAGTGTCGGATGAAGGACACTTACTTGAACAGAGCGTTGAAGTATCAACGCATAGTTTTCGTATTCGCTCAACTCGGCATTTCGCTCCAGATCACCTGGTAACAGCAGAGCAGTGCTGAGCACAACGCCGACATTAATATCCTCGGCACTATCATTTGCCATGACTGGCTTATCCTCTAAAGTAATTTCGGGGGCCCAGGGGACAGCAGGCTTCTTAGACCCCGAAGTTGTAGCAGAGGATGACTTCGGCTTTTTGGATTTTGGGGATTCTGATGGTTGGACTTCAGAGTGCCTCTTCCCAGCAGAGGGTTGAGGTTTGTCACTCTCAGCCAACTTTGAGATAGGCAAGGTATCTTTAGACTCAACATGAGTTGCCTTAGCCTTGGGTTGAGCCTTCTTTATTTTTTTCGGCTTCGATGGAGGAAGGGTTTGTACTGGTTGATCGTCAACAGATGATGGAATGCTGGCCAGAAGATATTTTGCAATCGGTTTTTGACGACCCATCTCGGCATAAGAAACTGATCGGTGTCGACGGTGGTGTTAGGATATTGGAACCAAGTATGTAGCTGAAGTTGACGGTTGCTCGGCTGGATCAGAGGTTGATCCCCGATCTGTCCGAGATGTGGATGCAGTCTGTGGAGTTGTGGCAGAAGGTGGAGAGAGGCTTTTCTTCTTCCTCTTAGGGACGTCGGGCAAGGTTGACTTATAAGTTAGGATAAAGTTGAGGAGCAGAGGCGCCTTTCGTTTGTGAAGTGGCAAGTTTAGAAGTTTTTTCAAATCCTTGCTGGGATAAAAGGATTGGCGAAAATTCTTGGGTGGCTGAGGAAGAACTGCAAAGATAAAAACAGCACAGACATTAGAACAAGAATATTGAAAATTTTATGCGAGAAGATAAAAAGAAACTTATGAAGGGTGACCCTTACCAGCTCCTTCCCCCAAAACAGTGCGGCTTAAGGGATAAAGATGGAGGATGTCGTTTGGCTGAACTCCCAATTGCCCGAGACAATGAAGTAATCGTCTCCAGCTCCCTTGTTGAAGTCTGGGAGGTTGGCTACGATTTTTATATTCGGTGGATCTCGGCTTAAGGTAATAGACATAGTCTGTGTCTTTTCTAAGACGACACATAGTATAACAGTATTGGAAGTCGGCAAGTGTAATTCTGGCATTCTCTTGTTTAACTAAAGCTATGGTACCAGTAATAACTTGGTAAGAATTGATGGCGAGTTGCATTGGGTTCAATTTATAGAAATGAAGGATTTGACGGAAAAAATGGTCAAGTGGAAATCGAAGTCCACACTCAATAAAGGCAACTACAGGGAAGGGCATGGAGTGATCAGTAGGCATGATGGAGTCATTATCCCCAGCCAACCTCAGATTGACATCGGCTGGGATTTCAAACTCTTGCCTAAAAAAGTCTAGCTTAGAAGGGATGTCTACCCGATGTTTCCACATACCCATAATATCGGGATAACTAAAGGTATTGGATTTCAGAAAGAAGATGTTTCAAAAAGGGTTATTGGGACCTCGAAAAAAAACCTAGGTTTGAACTGGTGCAGAAATTGTAAGGGATGTTTCAGTTTTTCCTAAAATGTGGGTTCTACGGACAAATCCCAAACCTAAAACTATGGAGATGAAGATCAAAGGCACAGATCTGGAAAAGACACAAAAAACAGAAAACAAAGGCGAAGTTTCAAAATCAAGAACAGAGATGGACTATAAAAAACATGAAGAATACAAAGGTTTGAAGGCCAAGAACAGTGGCAAGACGTGCAAGAAAACTATGAACAGTACATGTATTCAAGGCATAAGCAAAAAGTAAAATCAAATGCATTCAGATGTATGATTCACAAATTAAATGTTTGAGCAAGGCAGTAATAACAAGAAATTCCAGAAAAGATCAAGAACTGGAATAAGAAGAAAATAGTTGCTTACCAGAAAATATGAAGTCGGTGTAAAGATCGCCGAAGTTAGACGACGGTCGTGGGGCAACGAAATGGTGCAAAACACGCCGGAAGGGGTGAACGGAATAAGTTTCAAAGCAAGGAAGCTTGAACGATGGCGGACTCGAGAAGAGAAGTTAGAGAGTGAAACAGTTTTCCAGAAACGAAAATAAGGTGAAAGGAAAAAAAACGAAGAGATGTTTTGTTAAAAATGAAAAACGGCAGCAAAAAGTAATCAATACTCCTGGAAGAACATATGCGTCAGACGGCGCACATGAGAGAGAGACGGCCTATGGGCGCGTCACAGGTACGAACCAGTAAGAAAGAAACGCGTAGCTAAAAATGGTTGAATTATGGTGTATGACAGCTCATACGCGTGAAAGGGTTCTTGAAGTTCTTGTTCTTCAGCAATGACATGTCGGCCAAAATAATGATCACGGCTAAGATACTGAAAACCGACGTACTGAGAAAGCGAAATGATATAGGTTCCATCACCTCAGAATACCGAGATAATAGAACCTAGGGGGCATTTGTGGGGATATATTTTTGAGTATCGACACGTGGCAAGGTGACGCCGACGTGTAAGTCGAGGTGCCACATGTCAGGGTCATGACGCCGAGGTGATCATGGGTAAGCCGAGGTTATCTCCGAAGGTATCGAAATCCGAGATAATCGGATAAAAGATAAGGGACAAGAGTCCTAGAATAAAGAAGAGACTTAGCCAAGATAAGGATAAAGCTCTTAGGGAGTTTATCTTTATCTCTTGAGGAGTCCAAAGTAAGTACTGAACAGGAATACATAGAAGTCAGGCTTCTAATGGGATTTGGATTGAGGTAACTATAAAAGAGAGGCACCCCCGTGGGTCTAAGGTACGCAATTTTATGCTTTGAGCATTGAGTTTAGCCTCCGGGTGGTCAAAACCACCGCCGGAATCTTCTCTTTCTGTTTCAGGTTAGCCAGGTGTCATCTATTTTGCCAGTGTTCTCCAGCTGAATACTGAGTCGGGCAGTGTGATCAGAAAATCACCCACACAGTAAGCATATAATCTAAATAAGTATCGTTTGGTAAAATAACGTACCAATTAATTGAACATATTGATGAAGAAATTGGTTAATGTCTGATAATTTCTTAATGAAATACCACTGAAGTGGCAAATTATTATCATGATCAAGTATGTATACAATGTTGTATCAGTAGTAAAAAACATCTTATAATAATATGGCACCAACTTGAATTTCTCATCAGCCAATGTAATATGAACTTCTCTAAAACAATATATTTTTCTTTCAATTAAATGTTCTTTGAAATAATCATATTCCTCAGAGCATACAATTCCTTCCATGGCATCACCCTTTGAAAAAAGGTAATAAGAACACATTTTTAACATAATATAAAACAAAATATTTAACAATTATCTTATGATAAGAGTTATAAATACCTGTCCATCAACAAAAATCATTCTGAATGTCATATTTCCTCCAGGACGATTAGTTACAGATAACAACCTGACTAACTGAGCTTTAACGCTCCAATTACTTGCATATGAATGTAAATCAGCAAAATAGGGATATTTAATAATTCTATCACCTATTAACAATATAGATGCATATAAGCAAAAAAATTGCCATTTATAATTTTTATACGACGTATCTGTAGATCTCAAGAAATTTAAAAATGAAAATATTAAGAATTTTTAATAGAAAAATAAAAAAAATGTTAAGTTTACATTATGATAAAATAGAAAAAATAAGTAATGAATTATTATACAAAAAATATTATACAAACATATTTTGTAAGGGTAAGTGTTTAAATTATTTTTATTAAATGAAAATAGGGGGAAAAAAAAGATTAGATCATCCAATTTTTTGTATACTGGATGTAATATTTTGGATAAGATTTAAAATTTAGAGTAGTAAGTATTGTATAATTAAACAAAGTGAACAACAAAAAAAAAACATAGTCATTGAAATTTTGAAAAGACTTCTTATATCAATCTTCAAATACCATCAAAGACATCACGATATACAACATTTTTTTGTGTAATTTGATGGTTGGTCAACCTTATTAACAATCAATATCTTCAAGCCTGATGGTGTGGTAACACGCGATAAGGCAACATATAACTGACCATGGGAGAATACTGGATTAGGAAGGTATACGCCAACTTTTTTTAAAGTCTAACCTTGACTTTTGTTTATGGTCATTGCAAATGCTAATTTTATGGGAAATTGTCTTCTTTTAATCAGGATAGGTGATTGTGTGGTAGATGGTGATAAAATGATACGTGGAATGAGGACTCCTTCTCCAATATTCGAACCTGTAATCACTCGTGTCTCAATCACTTTATCTCTCATTTTCTCAACAGTAAGACGGGTGCCATTACATAGACCTTGAGGTTGATTGAGATTTCTCAGGAGCATTATAGGCACTCCCTTTTTCAATTCAAGGCAATGACTTAGAATTCCTGAAAAATTTAATGAGTGCAATAACTCTGGTGGATGCATGCCTTCGTCAATATTCTCACCCTCAGCTGGACATATCGTATCTGCACTTAGGTATTTTCGAGATTCTCCAGGCAACATTAATAGCATTAGGGCATCTAATTCATCAACATCAGCATTTTTTGGTGCTAAGATGCCACATTCTTTCAAGTAAGAACTGTCACTATATCTAGTACTTAAATCTGGATAGATTGCATAGATCAAATCATGCAAAGCATGTGATCCATTTATAATCAAGAATTGTTCTGGAATTTCAATCCAATTAGTCTCCCCGCCTTCAGTGAAAGAAATTCCAGGTATTTTTCCATCACCAATCATTAATATCCAGTTAGCTAAATCCCATAGTTGTTGACGCATTTGAATAGAAGTATCGTGGGCCATAATACGCATATTGGTCCTCAAATGCAATATGCGACAATAATTCCAAATAGTAGATTTCTTCAACGATGTTGCAATTGTGGCTTCCTACCTACCTTTTGGTACTACAGGTAAAATTTGTCTGAAGTCACCTCTATATGAATAGTTTTCCACCAAATACACAATCACTTGAACAAAATTATGTACCCTTTAGTATATCTCTGAAAGTGCGATCAACTACCTCAAATCCATAACGATGGTGCATTGGAGCTTCATCCCATATGATCAATGATGCCTCTTGAATTAATTTTGCAAATTCAATCTGTTGATTAATACCACAACTTGGGAATTCATCCAAATCAATTGGAATTTTAAGGCGTGAATGCGCAGTTCTACCTCCTGGTAACAGCAAAGCTGCAATTGTGGATGATGCAACCGTCAAGAAAATTTTTTTTTTTTTTTGACCTAAACTTTGCCATCAATGTTTTCCACAAATATATTTTTCTTGAAAAATAAACCCGCTTGTTTACAATTGTATGCACTCATTATGGTGTCATAAACTTCCAGTTGATCACTATTTAAACCAGAATGTAATTCATTGAACAATTGTTTTTTCGAAACACTATCATGCTCCATCTCTTCTCTGATGAGCCTATTTGTCACAAATTGAGCACCTTGCAAAGATGGCAATGGCATGGGAGGAAAATCTTTAAGAGATCTTCCATTTCTATTTAATATATGCTCAATTTCAAGAAGACCTAAATTTTTTAAGTCTTCATCGTCAAGATGTAGATCACTATCTCTCATTTCTCTTATGATTCTATATTATATATCATCGGTGAGACTTTTCCAATGATGTTCCCATAATTCGATTGGATTGGTTATATTAGAAAACATGAGTATTGTGCAATACATATGTCGAAGTTTTGTTGCTGATACCTAATTTGATGCTTCTGTCAATGCCTCGTGCCATTCATTATCATCATTGAGTAGACCAAGTGCAATACATGCAGATTTAAATGTTGTATGTACAACCCCATTTACAGTTTTGATATGCTCAAAACTTTCTGCACCACGAACATTATTCAATAACATTCTCAAATAATATCTCTCATGCGATGTTGGATGTGCATATGGCAATCTACCAATACATTTATGTGATTTTCAGGCATCCCATTCTTTTTTTTCTCTTTTCCATACCCATTTTGTTGGAAATTCAACATAAGTCAACTCCTCTGCAGATTGATGGGTTCTGTTTGCTTCAAACCATTTGGTCAACATTGTGTCATGAACATGTTGTTGGTCAATAACTTTGTGTAGATGATCATTGTCATTAAATGTAACAAATTGTTGACCTGGAAGATGATATTGTAAATGCTCAATAGAAGGAGTTTGTTTTTGAATTTCAAACTCAAATATCCTCCAACACGCTCCAATCGCAGACACGTATCGAGCATCCAAATACTGTTTGATCTCATTAACTTGTTTGTAATGTCGTTGCCCATTATTGTTTGGATGAATAACATTATTCTCAATCACAGTTGTCATACGATCAGGCCCTTTGTTGACATATTTGTATAAGTATTTCATCAACCTCGGGTGGACACATCGTTCAATATTAATGTGGCAATCATATCGCACTAAAATATCACGATTATATAGAATGACCCATCTGTTATCAATTATAAATCCATTTATGTTTATTGTGTTGCTCTCATCACATCTGAGCCTATATGATACAAATCCATTATCATCAATTGTTGTTTCATTTCAAAATTTCTTTGGATAATGTTTTGTACACTTTTCATCTACCTTGCATGGAGCATTGGGATGAGCAGCACCACAAGGTCCATGTATCATGCATCTGACAACAGTCACATATGCCAATGCGTTTGTATTTTTGTTAGGTAATACAGCACATATAAACTCATCAATTTGTTCAAGTGTGATTGGTTTATTCTCTGATTGTAATGTGAGAATGCAGGAATCCTCATTTTTGAAACTCGATGACGTAAATAACTGTTTATAAAAATAATTATTGATACATTAGAAATTTAAGAGTATTTATTATATAATAAATGCACAGTTGTTAGAATAATAATACTTGAAAGTACTTCTCCAAATATTTTATTTTCTTTCAAGTCGGTTAGTAGTTGTTTAAACTTAATATGAAAAACTCTAGCAACGATATCAGGTCTATCTTCTACACATTGATTAGGTAGTCTTGGAAGATCAACTTTTATTTCTGGCCATATAGGATTGCATGTGAACGTAATAAACAAATCAGAAGCTCCAATAGTTCTGCAAATTGCCATAGCATCTTGATAACGTTGGATCATATTATGCGACCCCCTAGAGAATGAAAAAGGCAACACAAATCTTTTCCCTACTGCTGACGCATCTACATCTCCAACAACTACAACATCTTCTATTCCCTGATACAGATCTATGCGCAACTTAGCTTGATGGGTCTTGATGTAATTCAATCTAATTTGCTCAATAGCAGCATAACAGTCAACGATAAATTGTTGAAACAAGCGCCCTCCTCTTAAAAGTGTTTTACCTTCAAATTCTCTATGTTGGTGTCTAAATGCATAAAATTCTCTAATTGACACATTGTTTCGAGATCTGCTTGAGGATGTATTAAAAGAGATGTCGCACCTCCATCCATCTGTACCATATGAAAACAGTAATGGGTACTGTAATGGTATTTATGATGGATGTATTTCACTGATTCTTCTTAATATACCGTCATTTTTCTGAACAATGATGTCACGATGCGTTTCAGTTCCAATATCATCGCCAATGATTATCGCTGCAACTTTGTTTGCAGTTGGTTTGATATATTGTCATTCACCTCTGGAATTTACAATATGTACATGTAGATTCAATACATTACGATCCCGCAACAAATCTCCAATACTTCGAAATATTTTCACATAAGGATTAACTGCATTTATCATTTCTTGTAAACCTTCCAATATTGACAAATTAATGTCTAAAATATTTGTACTGGTTTGGCCCATCACATCAAGACGATTTTGCAATTCATGCTCTGTATCACATATATACAGTTGGGAAAACTTAGGTTTCTGACCAAGAGTTGGTAACAGTGACCCTATTCTATGATAATTTTCCCCACTAATCCGAAATGCATTTGGACCTCTTCCATCTGAGATTGAATGATCTACTTTTCCACCCATTAATGTGAAAAACAACATTGAATTATACGTTCTAATATTTTCCATAAAACTTGCATTCCTCAATTGTGCATCTAAAAAGTCAGGAGCATGTGACAATAAAGGTAAAAGGATGTCCCCAGCTTGACAACATAATCTGAATTTGGGATTTGTTTTAGAACTATCATTTGTTCTCTCATCTAACCACATGATGGCGTGACATCGAGGACATGTGGATGTTCTGTTACTAAATTTCCATCTACTCATTACGCGTCATTTTCTGCGATGTGCAACCATTGCAACATCTGACAAATATAACATATGTAACATAATTACATGTGCCATATACTAAATAATTAGTATTATATGTAGGAGAAATTTACAGTGTGCACCATTTCAAATGATGCATATTGTAAAAAACTTATATTTTTTATGATAAACGTTATGATTGTTTGTAGTAAAGTTATAAATAGCGAATTTATGATATGCACCTTAAAGTTAGGAATGATAATGTTATGACATTTTATGATTTTTGTTATGACACTTTGAGATTTTGTTATGACATTTTTTAGTGAAAAGAAGTTATGATTTTTGTAATGAAAAAATTATCATTATTTAAATTGCTTTTGAGACAATGTATATTTAAATTGCTTTTAAGACAATGTATATTTAAATTGCAAGAGTTGGCATTATTTTTTTAAACAAAATTATTACAAAATAATTCTTACCTTGTTGTGGAACAATGTTATTATTTGTTGTCATTACGGGTTGTGACACATCTCCATGCAATTAAACGCCCTCGGTTATGGGATTTATGACTATTTCATCATAAAAAATCATTGAAAAATAATTAAATATCCCAAAATAAACTTATGTGAAATAATACAATGAGAATAGTAATGAGATAAGTATAAATTATGAGTCATGAATAACATAATAGTTTATTCTTATCTTGTTGTGGAAGAATATTAATTTCTGTTGTCATTGTGACTTCTGAGACATCTCCATGCAACTGAATGTCCTCAGATATGAGAGGCATGACTATTTCATCATTTAAAATTTAATTGAGAAATTATTAACTTAAAAATTAATATTTAATTTAAAGGTTCAAGAATATCAATTATTGGCAATTATAATTTTAAAAATTATAATTAAAAATATTAATATCTATATACATATATATATATATATATATATATTAGGGTTTACCTTCTGGTAGGACAATATTATTATTCACCACCCTTGTAACTTCCGAAACATCTTCATGTATGCGAACTTCCTCAGATATCGGGAACACAACAATTCCTTTATTTGAATTTGCATGAATAAAATATTTAGTGTCAAATCTTTTATTAAAGTTGTGATAATATTGTCAAATAAATCATAATTCTAAAATTAATACAAATAATAATTATTACCTTCTTCTTCTGTGAAAATATTGTTGTTCACTATTATAGTCTCTTGTTATAAATCCCTATGCAACTCAACGCCATCTAAATTTTGAGACATGACTATCCCGTCATCTAATTGGATAAAAAAATAAACAATATAAGTATCGGGAATTATAATTTTAAAAATCGTAATTACAAAATTTATATATATGTTAGTGTTTACCTTGTTGTAGGACAATATTATTACTCACCACCCTTGTGACTTCTGAAACAGCCTCATGTATCTGAACACCCTCAGATATTGGAAACATAACAATTCCTTTGTTTGGATTTACATGAATAAAATAATTAGTATAAAATCATTACTTTTGTGAAGTTATAAGAATATTGTCAAATAAATCATAATTGTAAAATTAATATAAATAATATTTCTTACCTTCTTCCTTAGATATGGAAGGCATGACTATTGGATCATATAATTTTTATGAAAAATATAAACAACATAACTATTAGCATTCATTATGAAAGTAGTAGATATTAGTATTTGCAAGTTATAATATAAAAGAATCATAATTAAAAAATATTATTACTTGGGATTCTTACTATTTAGAACATTAGTATTGTTTGTCAATGTGGTAACTCTTGAGACATTTTGGTGGAAGTAAACACCCTCTGATGTGGAAGGCATATCAACTCCTGTATTTTAAATTGCAACAATATATATATATATATATTTAGTATAAAAACTAATGTTTCAATTAATATATATTATCACCCTCTGATGTGATAATACTTCAAAGCTTACTTGTGACATTTCGAATATTTGTTCTATAATGCAATTGTTTGTCACGTAGAACACATGCTCTTAATCGACGTGCTTCTTTTTCAAGTTGTTTCAATTTATCCTTGAAGATGGGATCATTATGATTAGTCTGGAGTGAAATGAGCAATTTTCTTTTCTGACATAGTCGATTGATTTTAACAGTAACTGTATCACGTTCCATTCTGTAAAAACATAGAGATTGTCACAACGCAAACAATTTTTTTTCCTCATCATGTGGGTTGAAATAGAGTGTAAAAAAACACAATCAGTAAAAAAAAAATTCACCGTGTGATCAAACGGAGTGTAAAAAAATACAATCCCATTTTTGCTCATAATAATAATAATAATAAAAAGCAATGAAGTCTATTGGTATTTAAAAAGCACAATAATTTTTTTATTTTCAAAAAACACAGTGAGTTAAAAATCCAATCACAAATTAAGTCAATTGATAGTTAAAAAAACACAATAATTTATTTTTTCAAAAAAACACAATGAGTTAAAAAGATCAGTTACAAATATATATATATTTTTTCAAAATACAATCTATTCATCATCAATAATGGGTACTTTTTGTGAACCTAATGAATGCAATTTGTACGAGCACGAAATAATTCTCCTCCTATAATCCTGTTGATCAAGTGTGTGCTCCTCCAAACGTCGTCGCTTTGCTATCAAAAAACACAAACGTGAGCTAGCTGGCGGGTGTGTACCGGAAACCTCTCCGATGCCTAAGTCAGCAAATAGACAATTACACAAAAGCTCTATGTATTCGGGAATCAAAGTTGTGTTACCTTCCCATAGGTTCTGTTGTGAGCTTTTATAACTTTTGTCTGGCATAATCCTAGTAGGACTTTTATTCCTCCATGTAGAGTCCTCCTAGGAATCACACTCCTGAAAGATAATGCTTATCCTTTAACACCTCCCTCACTGTTTAAACCAAGTGAGATGGTTTTACCATGGTTGGATGACAGTATGACCGAGCTAACACTAGCCTTTTGTCATACTTAGTCCAGCACCTTCCCAACTATACGACATAGCTCGGTTCTCCTCTCACTTGCACCTCGGATTGGTTTGTTTAGACCGAGCTAACTGTTGCAAGCTTTGACCGAGCTAACGAGAGCAAGGTCCACCATGAGAAGCCCAAATACCTCGGTT